GACTACCCAGTTGGATTTCAGAAACAAATATGGCTACCCACTTCGTAATCGAAATTTCACTTTACCCCACTTGTTCTCCCGGGCCTCCATTAGGAAGAACTTCTTTATCTCTGTGTACTCCAAGCTATGGAACAAGCTTACGAGTGAGATCCCATCATCTACATCCATACACCTCTTCAAAGCTGCAATAAATAAATTCCTCACGGTTCAAACCATGATCCAGTTCACCAACTCAATTCTGACTGAGGAAGACGATTTTGCACTAGGGCTGCAATTAAAAAAACGGTATGAATTATAATTGTTTTTCATTTCTTATGCAGACGTGCTACGACCACCAAAAGAGAGTGATGATGCAAAATGTTATAGATCACGCATAGATCACTTCACGATCATCTTTCTTTGAGAACCCAAACTACCGAAGAGTTCCCAACATCCACAAGCCACTTTCGTTATCCTCTATTTTACGCCTACTTTCTAAAAGCCTTCACCCCAACGCAACCTGTCTGAAGAAAACAGAAAAAAATCATTTTTTGCATTTTTCCGTTCAGGCAACGAAAACAAAACAATTTGAGCAGATCAAATGGTGTCGACACTACGTGGACTCAAATGTACTGCGTATACCTTGGTTTCTTCACTTGAACTATTCTGCTTCTCCCAACTGATCCTACTCCGTCTTGTATGTTGCATGCTGAATGCCTCCAAACGTAAGTCAGGTTGTCTCTAGCTTTTAAATTTTCACTCCTTTTTTCTTCACCTCTTGTCCTTGATGAATCCGTTTTGATGCTTCAGAGCAAATCAGAATAACCGTTTGTATTTCAGTTAAGGTTGAGGAACCCCGCTCGATCAGTTCCGCTCAAATGGTGTCGGTGCTAAGTGGACTAAAATGTCCTTCGTATACCTTGGTTTCTTCACTTGAACTACCCTACTTCTCCCACTTGATCCTACTCCGTCTGCTATCTTGCCTGCTGAATGCCTTCAAACTTCCGTCAGGTTGTCTCTAGGTTTTCTGTTTTCACTCTTGCTTCCTACACATCTTGTCCTCGATAAATCTGTTTTGGTGCATCAGAGCCAAGTCGGAATGAACGTATTTACTTCATTCTACGTTTAGGAACTCCGTTTGATCAGTTCCACTCAAATGATGTCGGTGATACGTGGAGTAAAATGTCCTTTGTGTACCTTCGTTTCTTCGCTTGAACTATCCTGCCTTTCTCATCTGACCCTTTTCTGTCGGTAATTCTACCTGCTGAATGTCACTAAACTTCAGCCAGGTTGTCTGTTGCTTTTAAATTTTCACTCCTTCTTCCTACAACTCTTGTCCCCGATGAATCTGTTTCAACCCTCAAGAGCCAAATCAGAATCACCGTTTGTATTTCCTTCAAGGTTTAGGAACTCCGTTTGATCAGTTCCGCTCAAACGGTGTCCGTGCTAAATGGACTAAAATGTCCCTCGGATACCTTGGTTTCTCCCCTTCAAGTATCCTGCTTCTCCCACTTGAGCTTCTCCATCTGGGATCTTGCCTGCTGAATGTCACCAAACTTCAGCCAGGTTGTCTCTAGATTTTCTGTTTCCACTCTTGCTTCCTACACATCTTGTCTTCGATGAATCTGTTTTGATGCTTCAGAGTCAAATCAGAATCATCGTTTTCATTTCGGTTAAGGTTTAAGTACTGCGTTTGATCTGTTTCGCTCAAATGGTGTCGATGCTAATTGAACTTAAATGTCCTTCGTTAACTTTGTTTCCCCAGTTCAAGTATTCTGCCTGTCCCTCCTGGTCCCTTTCTGTCGGGTATCCTGCCTGCTGAATGCCTCCAAATTTCAGTAAGGTTGTCTCCAGCTTTTCTAATTTAATATTGCTCCAGACACTTCGTGCCCCAATGAATCTATTTTGATATGTCAGAGTTAAGATTTTTATTTCAGTTATGGTTGAGGAACCCCGCTTGAGCATTTCCGCTCAAATAGTGTCGGAGCTACATAGACCTTAATTTCCTTCGTGCATGCACTGGACGCTATATTCACTCCGGTACCCCATCATTTTAGTAATGTTCCATCGCATGCTCCGTTTCCGGTTCTCCGTTCCCACTTCTGTGGGACTACCCAGACTGCTTAATATCGCCTCTTTGTTCCAGATTCCGTTCTCTAGGGCCTGCCGAAGACTTGTGGTCCTCACCCACAATGGACAATTTGGCTCCGGCAATGGTTGTTGGACAAGGCTGCTTCCACCGTTTTGACTACATGCGTCCGCGTTCCGGTCCAGGTTGAGGATCACACCTCCTGCCTTATCTACATGGTGTTTTAAGGTAAGGCGTGTAGTCAGTTCCACATCAAAACGACAAACGCCTAATCAATCTAAATAATCAAAACCACTGATTGATCGATTAAAGCCCCAAATTCAATGAACTTGTCTCCAGAAGCGTGTTGTATTGCAGCATCAAGTGAAACATATTCCTTTACCGACGTATTTTTCTGGCTGTATTCCTTCCCTTCTATTCCTGTCCTCACGCCTCCACCACCACGCAGCATTTGTTTCACAGACCGCCTCTCCGAATTTCCCCGCACTGTTGTCGTACGTCCAATCCTTCCGAGACCAGTTTTACCATTACTTCCCAGTTATAGTGACATGCATTTTCAATGCATAAATTCATCGGTGACCTTGTCCGGTTTGTGTTCCTTTCACACTGTGTTTTCGTTCTGATCCCCACCATTTTTATTGTCTACCTATGTACTTACACTGTTATTGTACATATGCTCGATCTGGTCATTTGATCATGCCTTGTGCATGTCTCACGGGCTCCGTGAAATATGCATCTATTATTATTATTATATGAGTGCTCAGAGAAAACCTTCTAAAGGGGCTACACGTGCCAAACAGGTTAATGCACCCAACCCGTGTGCCAGAAAAGAGTGTTCTCTCGGAGTTGTCGAGGGCATACGTTGTGATCTGTGCCAGAATTGGTTTCATCAACGGTGCAGTAAACTATAGTTCAAGGCAGTTGAACACTATGCTGTTCACAAGTTTCTAGAATGGGTTTGTGCAAACTGCATCACCGCTATCGGAATTTCCAGGGCAAAAACGCCACCGAAACGGGACTTCCCGTCGCGGGTGTCTGCATAAGCTGATACGTGTATTTCGACCCCGAGTAGGTAGATGAACTGAAGTAAACCCGAGCCAAGGACTCTGATGCCTGGGGAGGGAAACCATTCTAGATTAGGTAATGACGGAGAGTGAATGAGCGTGGTGACCAACCAACCATGTCAGTGGCACCCCTAGGCATAGGGGTAAAGTCTTAGCCTAAGGCACGCATTGCCAATCCGGCAACCGCAAGGATTAGCGTGCAGGCAGCCGGTAGCAGGCAAAGGACCAACAAGGCCACCCAGTGTCAATTGCCACCAGGGAAAGGGGCACTTGATGCGCCCATGAGCGCTCACCAGAAGGCCGTTGCTAAGCTATCCGAACTCACCACCAGCCTGAGGGACTCTCTGCATAGACTTGAGGCCTATCCTAACACAACCCTAGGGAGAAACCGCAAAGTCGTTATCAGGGGCCGCTTTGTCGAGAAACGCGCAGCCGCAGGCAAGCGCTTCTACACCAAGTAAGAAACATAATCAGACTCGCCCAGATCCCCCGAGATGCAAATCAAGCTAGTTTCGCGCCTCAAGAAGTGACAGGGTGATCAACGAGCACCCAATGCCTTACTGCCCGAGCTAACTCAACCCGAGGCACGAGATTTGATGCTGGCACCTTCCGACAATGTGAGGAATTTGACCGAAGAAAAGGTAACCATAGGACCAAACTACCACCGCAATCACAACACAACGACCTAAGCTAGCTGCAGGAGCAATTAAGCATCAAGCTTCTGTCCTTCAACGTACAGAGAGTGGGCACGAGAATCCGCGCAGAAAAACGACCCAATTAAAACCGTCCGTATTCTGACGGGTTTCTCTCATGGAATCTCCTACCTATTTCAGCTGAACGATGTGCCCAACAGAAGGAGACAGCATGAATTTAGACAAGCCTCGGGCACTGAAACGCCTGAGAGCCACCTTTTGTCGCACCGGGTAATTAATACATGGAAAAAACTGTCCCACGAAAAAGTGGCGTCAAAAACCATTGCCGAGTTCAAGCTGAAGCTTGACGCATACTAGACATCAACGGTCCCCGATTGTACCTGACACCGGGTCTGAGGTCGCTAATAGCTCATCCTTCTCCGTTTCTCTCTATAGATTAAACTCCCCACCTCACACGACTTTGATTTTTCCAACTCCATAAAATCCATTTTAACTCATTCCTCACCACATTTCATTGAAAATTCTCAATATCCAATTTAGGTCACGTTTCTTCTCCACAGCACAGCTCTCACTCTGCTTACCTCGGAGCGGTGGATCGCAAGCTTTCTTTGCTCCTCCCAAAACCTCAGACGTGTACTGCCACTCCGACGGACCATCATAGGTGTGTTTTCGTTTTCTAGAACCGCACTCACTCACGTCTACGTGAACGAAATAACCCAATTGTCGCAGCGCCGTGGTGCTCCCAAGCTCATTGGTGCAAGAAACTGGACTGTTTCTGGCTCCGCCGTAAGTCCTGTAATCTTTTCTGTCCTGTTCTGTCCTGCCTCACTAACGTTTTATTTGCTTGTGCCCAGTTCATACGTATCTTTGCAGAATACACCAATAATCAATCAGGGCAAGGTAGTGAAACCCAGCCTGTTTAATTGTAGAGTAATTGAGACTGTAAACAGCTCAATAGTTTCCCTACTTAGTGAAATTAAACCATTTGGCTAATGTGGCCAATAAGTTTCGACGCCTTACTTGGTTTGCAGCCGTGGATCTAAGGGGATTATGAGTCGGATTCTAGCCCCAAGATAAGCTATCAAAATCCGCCTACGTAATCCCCCCTACGCTCTCTAAAACAATTCGTAAGAAAACTTTGTCCTCCATGACCAACACCAAACACAACACAGCCATCCCCTAATGACCCAAACCAGTGCGCATTTGTGACCAACGACTTGCGTGCAACGTGCAGTCATGATTTTTCCCTCTCTTCACAATAGCCTTGAATGAATTTTAATGTAACAACCGGTAGAACAATCACCGAAAACGTCCTTCATCGCCAATGATTGTTTTTCAGTTATAAATAATTACCCGTATTTAGAATCAGAGCAGTAGTAAGATTGTTAAACGTTCCCGGTTAAGATGAGGCCTCCCATTTCCGGGATAAAGAAGGTTAAACAGCTGTTAATTTCGGTTTGTTCGTGACATTCTGGAGACGTTATTTGATTATTCCTAGACCTTTGAAAGTCTTTAACAGGACATTTTACATGTCACAAGGGGCTGAGCTACATAATAACCTTTTCGGTTTTATACTTTTGGGATCCGTTTAAATTGAATTGGCCCCGACCTGTCGCGAGCTGAGAGTTTCTTTGGTGGTAAGCATTGAAATACGAAGCCCACTGCAGCCCAGTGCAGTCCATAATCCCATGCTCAACAGAAGAGGAGAGTAAAAGGTATACCTTCTTTCAGCTCCTTGTTGGGATTATTTATTTACAGATCTTTTTTCTACTATGAAACATACAAAAGAGCTCACTTCATAGAATAAGCATTGGGCCTGAGTGCGTCTTTAATTCTTTTTCATTTTACTTCCTTTTATTGAATATACAAAGATACAACACTTTTCAGGAAGGAAGAAGCTGCCAATCAGAGAGATGCCATTCAACACACAAAGGCGAAAGTCAGGCGGTAGCGGTGGGGTTCGAACACATCCCCGGGGTGATAGTTTTATGTCGTTACCACCGGGTCACCACCGCTCAACTCTAACTCTTATTCTCAGGTCATACAACCGTCCAACGGGTTAGGACTTGGAGGATTCGTGTTCAGACCTCGATTTAAAAGCAAGCTCCTACCACTGTTCCTTCAGGGCAGTCTTTATTGCTACAACAGTCTACGGGTCTTATAAATTCACAGTAAATGTCAGGCCAGGTCATGTGGCACAATACGGTTAAGCCATTTACCGACCTTACCTTCCGATTCCTAATCCAGACGGAATTAAGATGCTTCCGGAGCTTCTGATTGTTGTAGACTGTTGGTCTACCATCGATTTAAACCTCTAAAAACACCTCCTACTTCTAGTTTATATCTGAAACGGTGGGCTACCCTAAATTGAGAAACCTTCAGTCCCCTCAGCCAAAAGTATGCAACGTCGAAAGTTCTGAAGCAAGCCCGGTTCATAGTCACCCAGTTAATTCTTTAACTCGTCTTCTGTCATTCAGAACAGTCGTGAAGAAGGTAGTTGATTTCACTTATCTATTACCCTGCTCCTGAAGACGTTTTAGCTGCGGATGAGTCGGTTCTTGGGTTTTACCAGCTTGAAATGGTGCTCACTTGTTGACCCAAGTACCCGTAGCTCCTATACATCTACAGATATATGTTATAATTCCAGCACGTCACTCGTCACCTACATCACCTTCCTAAACTACCCTCCATTATCCTACTCGAAATATATACCCCACAATCAACTTTACTAATGCTTGCTTCCCTATTTCCGTGGACCAGTTTACTCCACTGACACACCTCTGGTTCGCGAGCTAAGCACGGCGCATATTCGTGCTCCTGACAATTAAACGAACTTACTTCGACAACCCAACGATGGGAGCATTTTCTATCCCGGTCTATGTTTTTCTACATATACAAACTGTATCGCAAAATTATTTGCTGTCCTAGTGACACTTGTGATAAACTCTCCGGGTTACTGAATCCCCCTCCAACAAATATCCTCATCTTGTGCGCAGTCAATCCATCATCGACCGTAACTTTTAAAATATCTTACACCAACCTCACCCTGCACCATCAAAACCGTTATTCCTAACCCCTTGCCTCAGTACGCTATTGCACATTGCACTTTCTTAACCGTCGATTGCCAGAATGCATCGCTAACCAACAAGGGACAATAATAACAATAACCATATATTTCATGTAGCCTACGAAGCATACTGGTGCGCATGATAAAATGTACAAAAGTGATGTAAAGTAATGAAGGTCCAGACAAGCGACAATAGTGCTGAGAAGATTTGGGCGCAAACTAGGAATGGGTACAGAAGATATCCTCGGGTTCATTGCGGTGAAAAAGAAACACAAAGCGGACCAGGTCATTTGTTGGAGTACTCAGGTTGGGCGAACACATCAACATAAACGTTTGTTATGTGAAGAAAATTTAGGAAGACACAGTCCTGAAGGTGGGAATATCCGCTCGGGATATAAGGCGCGGA